GGATAGTAGGAGGACAATAAAACGTCTATACTGTAAGGAAAGCATAGAAACCTTTCCCTAAACTTCTATACTGTAGGGAAAGCATAGAAACCTTTCTTTAAACTTCTATACTTTAGGGAAAGCATAGACCAACTGGGATTGACATTTTCTGGAACGACCACCCATTTACATCCATATTTAAGATGGATGTTTTATGCCTCATAGGATGCAAATGTAGGAATTCGTCCTCCCACGCATATAACAATTTTTCCTAACTATTTTGCCCAATGGAATAAGTGTATGGTATGCTCCTCTACATACTTGCTCAATATAATAAGGACAGGGTTTTTATGAGTCCGTGCAGAAATGAATCGACTCTTAAAAATCTATTTTTGAGATGGATTTTCTGACCCAATTTTTATGGACATGTAACCTCTAACATGAAGATCATGAATATAAAAAAATAAATAAATTTTAAAAAATAAAAATAACAATTTTTTGAAAAAAACATTAGGACTTTTAGTTTCAATTGTTTTTAGATGGGCCACCTATTTGTATCTATCTTTAAGATGGATGCTATACTTGGGACCCTATATTGTAGAAATGCGGTCAAGTCCGCATGAAATAATTTCCCATGTAATAAAGCACAAGAAAATCGTGTGAAACTTCTTTGTATTGTTTATCCTCCCCATGTGAGGAAAGTACCTGGGGCAACTTTCCTCAATATTAAGCCTTTGTGGTCCCCAGTGGTAGGTAATTTATAGGTGGGAATAAGATATGCCAGCTTTCTTTTCACCTGTTGTTTGATCTATTTCCAGGACTCATAGAAGCAATAATTCAATCTTTTTTTAATGCTAGCAACATGCCAATCTTGTTCAATGCCTGTCAATAATGCATTTAAACTTAATTATTTTCTGCAAGCTTGCTTTTCAGCATGAACATCCTAGAAGCTCTTTTCACAAGGCATGAACATCTTAGAAAAGGGTTTGCACAGATGGATACAATATGTTTGAATGTGCTGATGCTCATGTAAAAGCAGAGTTTTCTGCTATCTTTGTTCTTTCTATTTGTGACGCATTTCAATGCCCATGTGTTTCGGACAAAGCGTCAGTCATTCATAATGCAAGTGGATTCAGACATGCTTCTTGGTAGACCAAACCTACATGAATGATGCACATATGCTCCATGAACTTGAATATGCATCATGTATTCTGAGAACTTGTGTTACTGATAAATACACGAATAAAATGACATTTTCCAGTTTTCAGTTTTGGCATGATAAACATGAGGATTGAATTATCCAAACAGTCTAGGCAAAGATTCTAGACACTTGGCTCACCATGATATGAATAGCCTTGTTTCAGACCCAACACTGAGAAGACATAAAAAAGTTTGCATATTTAAGGTTTTAGACCTAAGATATGGGTTCTATTGCCACAAAGTCTTCCAAACTTCCCCCAATATTGTTTGTTAGATTCCTTTCTTTACCTGTTAACAGAAAGTAACTTTTTCATGCAGGTGGTGGCACCTCAAATTCGAATGTTTCACTTATGGTGATGCATGGAGGGGTGTATTAGGATGTAAAGAGCAATTGGCCTCAAAGCATGACTTGTAAAAAAAGCAAAATAAAGAGAATATGAGATGTCTTAGCAGAGATGGACAGAAGGCTTTCTTCAGCTTCATAACCAAGCATACTTGATCTTTTCTTACATAAATTCTGTATGTAACAACAAATATTTGTACAAAATGCACTCAGCTCAAACTGCCTAGACATTTTCTTCTCAACAGCAGGCCGTTTCTTATTGATAAATCACCATTTACTCAAATTAATGGCTTGACTTTGGCATTGTTACAATATATCGAAACAATCAAGGGTTGGATTCACATATATGCCCTGTAGTAACATAATTCCTCTACAGATTTCTATCTCAACTTTTTTAACAAGCTCAGTTGCATATGGCTTCGACTGCCACCCTCTTCATGACACTGAAACACGGGTCTCCTCCAAAAACATCAGGTGATATAGTGACTGCGCAAGCCTGTTGCCCAACACACTTCTGCAACAGACCCGTCTGCGTTAATTACATGGACAAATTCAAGCAAATCATTCAAGGCAAAAAACCAGTCACAAATTCGCCAGTTATGTAACGAATCAGTGGACTGATGAGGGTCATAACGGTCCAATGAATGGTGGACAGTATACAGAGTGCAGACTGTCTTAGTTCCTCGCACTCTCCATCACCCATTGTTTCACTGGACAGTCATGGCCCCAAGGGAATATGATATTTCACACCAGAATTGGATTATAGACACTTTCCCAACACCAACAATGTTAGTCAAGCCAAGGTCTAAAGACAAATCCTTTAGTTGGTCCCATAGGAATTTGGAACCTACCCTAAAGAGAAAAGAACATGGTATTGGAAGAGATGAGATACATTTTGAAAGATCGATAATAATTCGGAACCTTATCCCGAGCAAAAGGAAAAGAGCATGACATGGAAGGGAATGAGAGGAAGCTGTAGACAAACCTTTTGGAAGACTGCATAAGAATTTGGAGAGTGGCACGCCCCTTGTTGGAAGTTACCACAAGCACCTTGAGGAGTTCCAAAGCTAGCAAACTTTATGGAGGTAATTGTTTGACCTTGGTCACAACCAAGATGAACCTTTGCTCTTTGCAGTCTTTCAGGCTTTCCATAGGTTTTGATATGCCAATTCTTAATGGTCAGATGCCATTCTGATACATCAGCACATACGCTTCCAACCGACCTCTTTACTAGTGAAATCCCAGATGGATCACCACCCCACTCCTCAAAAACAACTAGTAGATTTCCAGTAGGGTTCAGCCAAGGACGAGGGACATGGTACCTGGGAAACTTAACTCATGTTACCTTCCAGATTATATGGGAAAAGCTTAGCTCTGTTTCCTTGATAAGTGAAAAGAAGAACATGGATCCTTTTTTAATAAGTTAAAGGAAAAGCTTGGTTCTTTATTCCTTTTTCTGATTTTTTTGACAAGGAAGAGCTTAATTCTAGAGTGAGAAAGATAAACTCAGTTGGGTCACTCACCAACGTTGGGAAGGTTCGCCACAATTTGATTGACAATTCTTCTCATTATATGTCCCACTATAACTACAGTCCCCACATGAACCTTTTGCAGTATAAGCAGGCCAGTATCGTCCGATGCTCTGGCCATTTATCCAAACCTGACCCTTTCCCATGCTTCCCATATCCAAGGCTAAGGGCTCATCTCCACCAGGTGCATTGAAGGTCGCCTAAAGGAATTGCACAAAAAGATAAAATGCTTAAAACATTCAGACAGATTTGTATGATATGCTTGTCGCATATAAAAAGTTACAATAAGAAATCCAGTGACTTCTCATTTAGTAAAGACTTCTTCACTTCCTTTACCATTGTATTAGCTCCTTGAAAACAAGAAAGAAGAAATGAGAATAATCTGTTTTTCCAACTTTGGGTTGCTGAATGAAGAAACTTTCAGGTTTTGCTACTCAAGCATGATTATGGACCTTACCTTATACCAAGTTAGGGGTTGCTTTTGAGCGATGAGCGATCCCTTTACCCACTCAACAGAAGAACTTCCACTAAGTGTGTGAAGATTCAAAGTTTCACCGGTTAAACCAACCTGCAAAAAAGTCCAGATGTCAACAAGTATAATTGTTTTGAGGATCTCAAACTTAAGGTAATTTCTAAGTTCAATGAAAAGCATAGAGTATGTTTGAAGTTTACTTTGTATGACCACTTCTGCCAGGTTAAATCTCTTCTTCCTTCATTAAGGCCCTTCAACATGACAGGGCCGAGGACACCAGCATTCCATGTCTCAAAACGCTTGCCCACATTCTTTGGTGGCAATTGAAATTAAAAAAAGAAAATGACAACATTACAGAGTTATTTTTCCAGGCTAACTAAAAATTTCAACTCCATAAAAAAGAAATATTAAAAGAGAAAAGTTTATATAAGGTTGCAACCTTAAAATGTACAATCATAGATGCAACTCAAAAATCTATTGGAAATGTTGTTTTACTTTTGAAAAACCCTCTAATTGATCTCGACATCGAGATGTATGAATATGAAAAAAAAAAGGTTTTTGAATCTTAGAATAGTGCATCTTGCAACACATTATATAGAACGTCCATTTTCAAGATTTCATATATTTATGGATCTACTTGATTTTAACCATTTTTGAAATTTA